TGACTTTTTGATGGCTGGCGTGGCGGGGGGTTGGACGACGGACGAGGATGGCTGGCGGGAGGTGATCAAGCTTGTTGACGCTTGGGTGGCAGGAGCGCGAGATGTATGTATGTGGGGGATAAGAAGTGGTGGGATGCGCATGGCGGTTAGATGGCCGTCGGCAAAAGGGCAATCGGTTAGAACAGGTGGATGGCATTGCTTGCGACTCGGCATGCAATACACGTTGGGCCTCTGGCAACTCTTATGGTCGTCGGCTGAAGGAAGAGAACAACAACATGGAAGCTCACTGCGAGCTTCAAAAACGACACAGTCGATACCAAGTCGTTGAGCGCGATTGATCGTTTTGATACACCGGCACTATCATTATTATGATGAATGACAACAATCAGACGCGCTTGGCCCGAGGTCAGCTCGTCATCCTTGGGTAAATTGGCCACCTCGAGATGCTCCGGATCCTTCATGTAGCGCTTGAGCAGGTGAAAGCAGACAATGGCCAGCACGGTGCCCGAGAGCTGATCGATGACAAAGGGCCCGATATCAATCGGGTTCAGACCCGAATCAGAGCCTCATAAACCATAAGCCACTGTACCGGCTGGGTTGCAGGGCATCCAAGTCGGCAGAAACCAAAACCCAGCACCAACGCACACTGATACGGTAGCCGGTTTGTTTGTTTGTTAGTTTTGCCTCAGTCCACGGTGTGTGTCTGCGTGTGCGGCGGTTTCATCAGCCTCTCTGCGACTGTTTTCGTCCTCTTTCCTCGTACTGTCCAGGCCGATGCATGGATTGAGTGAGTTGCCATCGATTTTTCTTTAACATATAAATCAGGATCAATCGGTCGTTCCCAGGTTCGCCACCCCCCCCCCCCCCCCCCCAAAAAAAAAAAAAGAAAAAACCAGAGAAGGGCGCTTGCTTGCGCTTTGCGCTTGTGGTAGACGCCGCTTCCTCGTGCTTGTTCTCCCGTACCCACGCACGCTCTTTCACTCCCATGCACGCTTTGCCCATGTCAGATTCAGATGTTCAAGCCAGAATCGCCCGAACGGGAAGTGTCTGGATCAAGCATGCTGACAACCGTGACGGTTGTCGTGGCTCGTTTGAGCGCTGCCGAGGGTGTGGCACTTTGGATCGGTATCGCGGGCACAACGGCTTTACCGAGCGTTCTGTAAGCCCGCTGAATAAGATGGTAGAGCACGACGACGAGCAGCAAACCGCTAAACTGGCCTAGCAGATACGCGGGCACGTCGACGCGGTTGACGCCGGCAAAGGAATCAGAGTATCCACGAGCCAGCGTTGCGGCTGGGTTGCAGTAACTCGCGGTGGGTAGATACCACAGGCCCGAGGCAATGTACATGGCCACCGTTGACGCTATTCGAGCCTTGGGGGTGAGCAAGACGAGCGTCATCAGCCCGGCCGTGGCCATGAGCTCGGCATAAATCTGGTAGATTCCAACCCCAGGCATGGTTTTGCGAGACAACACCGGCCATTCTTGATTCATAAAATGTGCCACCACGATTCCTCCAAAAGCGCCCGCCACCTGTGACACCATGTAGGCTGTGATGCAACAGCAAGAAGAGCTCAGCGTCAGAGAGGTTTGTGCCGCATCAAGACATGAGAGCACCCTGAACAGAGGGTACTTTCGGGGACATACCGCAGACGCCAAACCAAGAGAGCGGGCAGGCTGGGGAACAAAGCTTGAGGACCAATGTTACAGCGGGATTAATGTGGGCACCCGAGTGGTCAATCAGCGCCGAGATGACGGAATATAGCATGCAGACTATATCCTCGCCCCCAAGACAGGAGGTAAAAAAAACAGACGAGTTTGTGAGTGAGCTGAGATGTCTTGTGCCCTGGAAGGAGCAGCGCCAGGGCATGCCCTCGGCAAGAAGGGGTTGACAAGTACCTGTGCCAATCGTGTTGGCAATGAGGGCCACGCCAAGATTGTCGGGCGATAGCCGCACAGCCGTGATGCCGCTGCCAATGACACCTAAATGCCCGCCAAAATGGTGGCACAACAAGATCAAAATGCAAGTGGCAATCCATGAATCTGATGGGTGGCAATAAGGCAAGCGCTGCGCCACACGACACGTACCAGTGACCAAGTACATGGTCCCTAAAAGCTCGAGAGCACAGTTGAGGAGGAGCTCAAATCGTCTCATGTCGACGATGCCCCTCGCATCACGCCGACACGAACGCGCGACCGCCCGGTCCTGATGATTGATCCCGCCCACTCCCAAACCGCAATCAAAATGGCTGGCCCGCCCAAGATTGATCCATCAACCAATCAAGCTCAAAACTCGCCGCACACCACCACCGCGCCCCCGACCAATCACCACAAATCACCCGCCCCGATCCTGCCCCTCTGTCGTGTGTGTGTGTGTGTGTGTGTGTGTGTGCGCGCGCGCGTTGTTGCAAAACACGAAAAACACACAAAACACACACATGCGAACATAAGCCAAACACAATAATAATGTCCATACCGTGTATACACACACGCACACACACACAACACACACTTGTATTGCAACAACAAGATGTTGTTTTGTGCTAAAACTACTACCTGTAAGTTGAAAGTTGATTTTCTTCTGTTGCTTCTTTTCATCTCTCTCTCTCTCTCTCAAACTCTCTCCCACACACACACACACACACTCAAACTCTCTCTCACTCTTTCGCGCATGAACTGACACCATGGCAGAGGCGGCAAAGGAGCTGCCGCGGCGGACGTGTGATGTGCGAGAGCCGTGGTTTGCACACCTGGCGTCGGGGGCCAAGAGTGCTGAAGGACGCTTGGATGAGGGCATGTGGCACGAGTTGCAGGCCGGTGAGGTACTTGAAATCCTCAAGAATGGTGCCGAGGACAGGATCTTTCGTCGGGTGACGGCCTGCCGGCGCTTCCCTGACTTTGCAGCCGCCTTTGACCACTATGGGCAGGCCCTCTTGCCGGGCATTGCATCCCGTGAGGCTGCGGCTGCAATTTATCGCCAATTTTACACGGACCAGGCCGTCGCTCTTCACCACGTTGTTTGCGTTGAGCTCACCCCGGTCTGAGACGCCAGGCTTTTCAAGTCATGCTGCGCGTGAGAGGCACAAAAAGGCAAGAGGCTCGAATCTACCAACGACCTGGCCTCAGATTGATGTTAGTATTACAATTGACGTGCTCAGCTAGATTTATTCCGCTCTCGACTGGCAAATGACTTTTGGCCGGGGGGGAGGGGGGCGCGGGGGCGCACGCCGTCCACAAAGACTTTTAGCGCACGTGGCGAACAGCGGCCTTGGCCGCACATGATTTTCAATTCTTGGTGCTGTCATTGATGATTCCAATGTCGGTTGCTCGAGTTCTTCAATTATCAGCGTAGGTGGGCGGGCAACCGCCGTGAGCTTGCCCGACTCTGGTCCAAGGCTAAGCTCCAGCACCGGCTGCTTGCGTGGTTCAAAGCAGCTCTTCGCTTGAAAAATACACGACATCATCATCATCATCATCATCATCATCATCATTTTCCTCTGCCTCCAGCACAATGCGCCGCTTCCACCTTGGGCCGTCCGTTTGCTCTGCTCGTGGTCGTGAGGGGCTGCTGTGGTTGCTGTGACTGCTGTTGCTCAAAGCCGAGGACAAATTGGGTCCGAAGAGCGGGGGTGGCGATGCCGTGTCCAACCGAGGGCTTGCGGCCATCGGCAAAGACGCTGTCAAAATTTGTGGTAAAGCTACCAACCGATGTAAATTGGTGGCTCTTTCCGTGGACGTCGCGATGAATTTGTCCTTCTCGTCCTCCCCCGGCTCGGGCTCGCTGTCAGAGGATATGAGAATGCTGTTGGAGTGCGGGGCTGGCGCAGACCGTCGCAATGGTGGTGACGGTGGTGGTGAACGGCGAGGGGCCCGCCGCAATCGGTTTCGGCAATCATGGTCAACATCACGGCCCAGCCCATGTGCCGTGAGCGTTGAACCGCCCTCGTGCTGGATGGAGCGCGCCGCACGGCGTCGGCGACGGCGGGGAGGGTCTGGAGTCCTACACAAACCGCACACCACATACGCACATACATACGCAAACGCAAGCACAATGAGACAAGACTGTCATGACGGTTCCAATCAAAATCCAGCTGAAGCAAAGCACTGACGCATGGCTGTCATCGATAAAAGAGTCATTCAAGTCATACGCATCCAGGTCCAAGTCGCCCTCAAGATCGGCTGTCCATTGATCGCTGGGTCTGCCTGAGCCCATCCAGCCCAACCCTTGATCTCCGGCGCCATTGGCATCAAAGGCATCATTCTCCTCGTCTTCGTCGTCATCATCCTGTCGCAGGACAATACGAGCGGCAGAGTGAGCAGCGCAGGTCTCATCAATTTGATAAAAATGGGTGCTCCCAACTCCCAACAGCCACATACCATGGACACGAGACGGCGACGCTGCACAAAATGCTTCTCAGGCGGCACGTTACCAATGACGGCCTCGTTTTCTAGCTGTTCCTTGATGACAACCCGAAACTGCCCTCGGTCCCGCACATCACGTAGGTGTCAGCACGAAGCAGGACCAAATCAACACCGAAAACAATTGTAACATACCGAGCCTTTACAGATGGGGCATTCCGCATTGACCTGGGCCCACTGCCAGATGCATTCAAAGCAAGCCAGATGCTCACAAAGCGGCATGCGGCCTCGAAAGAGCATCTCCTGTGCCCGCAAACCGAGAACAGGTTAAAGACACAAGCCCCAAGCAAGGCAACAGCAGCAGCCCCACCAGCCAGCTTCACACGCACCTCCTTGGGCATGAGGCAGATGATACAGCCCGCACTGCCTGCCCGAACGTTGGCATTCGTTGCCTGTGCCGCGCGTTTGGCCCGCGCTCGAGTTGCCCGCAGTGGCCGCCGACGGCTCGAGACCGTCGGAGATGTCATCATTTAGGGTTGGCGACGGCGTCTCTCTCGTCGTGAAGATGTGTATGCACGCACATCCGGCCAACACGAGGCAGGCAGCAAAACAAAAGGA